GTTTCATTAATTAACTATGGAAAGCAATATGGGTGTTCCGTTTTAGTTCCTTAAAGGGAATAAAGCTTTAGAATACTTTAATGGTGTCATTAAATGGTTTAACTCCTAACAGGCAAAGTTTTACGGCTCCACATTTTATTACAGTGGTAACCTCCGTATTGAAGATTTTGTGTAAGTATTTTCTACATTATAAACAGTAGTCATCAAAAATCATTTGGTATTCCATTAAAAACTTAAAACTTTTCTTTAAGCCTAATTTCTCATTTCTTGAAACAATCCTCACGAGTAAATTTTTATTGAGTCTTTCTCTTTACTTTCAAATATTTTTCAAATATTAGATCTATATACTTGTTAGTTCTGTGCCCTCTAAATTTAAAATAAGAAAGCTTGTTTTATCTTGGGGGAACATTTCGTTACACCGAAATAATTTCTTTAGGACAGTGCTCAAGTATTTTATTTGTTTATTGATTTAGCATTTTTGAAACATTACCCCAGCATCTCTATCCCCATCATAAATGTGGCTCATCAACAAACCTATTAGATTTCCAGCAGAGTCGCTTGTGTAGCTATGTGGAGAAAGGATTATCTTTCCATGAAATCAAAGAAATGCAGCTGTTTATTTAGAGCCGTTGTGCAGTAATTTGCAAAAATATTTTAGACAAAATTCGGATACAAAAGTGTTTATGGTTCAAATCATGTTTTGAATCAACATTTGATTCTTTTCTATAAGCTGTCTCCATTTCAGTCTAGTTTACTCTGTTTTGGTTGTGATTGGTTTTGAGTTACCCTCCTCATAGTTGTTTTATTTATTTATTTATTTTTGGGTCAAAGACATATTCATTTACAACATAAAAGAAGATAATTACAACGAGTTTTTATAATCGGCTTTAAATGCATCATGCAGCCACAATGGGATATTATTATCCGAATTTCATCGTAAACTAATTCAACTCGGAGTCCGTCACACAGTGTTTCTGTTGCTTCAAGCCAAAAAAATCGTGTTTTGTTGGTCATAGTGTTTTCAACTCAACATTTGTTACACACTTAAAGATGCAGCCAATTGTTAACCCACGTGACCAATCTAACACAACTAAGCCTACCAAATTTTAACTCGTTGCCTTTATTTGTACGCCCATTCAAGGAGGTTCATGAGGCGTGTAGCACACATTCCGAATGACTTCCTAACATATTTTTTGGCTTCTGGAGATACGTCTCCGATGGCCATAGCCGCCTGATCGGGTTTCTTCAGGACCTTCCGGTTCTCGTCTCCTTCCTATCTATTTCCTCATTTGAAACACGGCGGATCCTCTTCCGCCTAGAGAATCTTACGCTTCGAAACAGCGGTGGAATACCTTCATTGATCTAGTGCAAGGATCCATATTATCGAGGCATCAATGACCTGGAAAGTAGCTCCTGGATGGTTTCAGGATGTGGTATCATGAACTGGTGGGATTGTAACTTACTTGGAGGATCCATCAAGCTCTGGACTAATATTTGCTCTAGTTGTTATTTGGATTTTGAAATGGAGAGGCTGGATTGATGGAGCCAGTTTTCAAGCTCTCCTGAGTTCCTAGCTAATGTAGTTGTTCCACGATGCAGTTGTCCCAAATTTTGGGCTGATGACTGCGTGCAGAAGCCTCAGATCACGCATTTAGAATAGTGAGAATGGATCAATGGCAAATCAGACGTATTTCTTTCTAAACCATTCAATTCCAAATATATACAAATGCCGCTCATCATCGACGAACCTGTTTGATTCCTACCTAGCGTTTTTTCTAGTTGTGTAATTGTAAATTACCATATCCTTTTTTTTTTTTTTTTTGCCCAAAAAACCTTATTCTCCAAATTAAGTCACATTCAATTCTGTTTTCACCTTTCGCGATTTGGTTGTTATTTACTGCGATTGTTCCAAAGTGAAAATGTATTATTGGATGTAAAGTTCCTTTTGAAGAGTGCAAACCACATAAACTACTTGCCTTTAGTAGTCTACCAGCCAAAACAAAGACACAATAGTCGAAAATTACTCGCACGATAAGAATAATCACATACCTTAATGACTCAATGGAACCTCCTGATTCAGAGTCTTATTCCAGGTCGACAAGGCTTATACCAGTTCATGAATTTTGGCTGAAACCAAGGCAACTAGAAATTGCTTGTTGAGAACATTGCATAAATTTGGTGAGATAAGTGGCAGAATAACTATACTGGTACAAAGAGCCATGTCAAAACTCGAGTTTTTATTGTTGTAGTTTTCAGCTGAAAACAGGATTAAAGATACAATGTAGGACTCTGCCAAAAGGATGGAGGCACTTTTTACATCAACAACTGAGATTGAACTCATTTGTGGCCATTAATGAGTGTTCTTTCATCCCCGTATCTTGTAAATCAAAGCTGGTTCTTTTCTATAACATGTCTCCACTTCAGTCTGGTTTACTCTGTTTTAGTTGTGATTGATTAGGTTGGCTGAGTTTTAGGTACCTTTTCTTTCTCTAGCCAAATGAGCACTGTCATATATCTCGACTCTGAACTTGTCTCCTCATAGTCATTTGGTTTTGAGGTCGAATCCTTGGACTTGCGTGATGGTTATTGTCCAGTGTATATTAGTAATGTATTCAATTTCAGAACCCCGGAGCAACTTGACATCTGGGTCTGGCCTTCAAATTTTCTCCTCCCGAGTCCTGAACACTTAACAAGAGATTGAAACTGGTTGAGTGATGTACATCTTTGTTCTGATTTTGAAATAACCTTCTTTAAGAGTTTGATTATCACTTTTGCATTAAAAGAAGGTCTCAACATTTCCCAGTATTCCATGTGGTGGAGAATCGACTCGTAAGTTGAGCTTGCTCTAATTAATCAAAACTGAGATTCGATTTGTTGTTTATGATGCTAGCAGAAAGTCTGTGTCTTTGATTTGAGTGATGGCGTTCATGTTCTTCAAAAGGAAGCCATACATGTCCAAGATTAGAACCCCGACTCATCTGTTAAAACTTAAAAGGTTATATACTGCTCCAAATGCATGTTCTGAATCTTGTCAATATAAAATGAAAATGTTGTTTAAAGAGGAGTCGCATTTGCGATCCCCAAACTCTATACAATTTCTGTTTCGTCGATATTGTCGTCGGTTTATGTATCACGACGTAACAGTTGACGCCGTATTCAAAATCTGACCATTCCAAATTTGAAGTTGTAATTTTCTTTTCAGCTTTTATTTTAGTAAACCAACAAAAATCATGTTGAACTCTTAAGCTAGTCTGTAAAAAAACAAATTTAAGGCCTCATGTATTAAGCGTGAGCCTTTCTTGTCTCACTCTTTTGCTTTCAGTTCAGTTTCAGCTTCATCTATATACATACATACATATATATATATATATATATATATATATATATATTTATATATCTTGGAAACCCTCAATCTTCTTCTATTTTCTCTTGCCATCGCCATCCATCACAAAATTAGCTGATGTCCTGATCCATGTTTTTTCTAAACAACTTGAGGCCTTAATTTTGATTTGAACTTTGAATAGGTTTATAATTCCACTTTGGTTATTTTCCAGAATCCACAAGACAACTCACTTGGAGGAGTCAACCTCTAGATTATTTGGTCTAGTTTGTTACGTGGATTTATGGTTTGGAAGCTCCAGCTATGTTTGTGTATTTTCGGATTGGCTGTTGTATCTGGCCATTTCTCAAGCTTTCTTGAGTTCCTAGCTAATGGAAGTGTTTGGTCGGTACAAATTGAGCCACTAAATGTCTTCACCAACACTTCTCGCTTCTCGCAGTTTCCAATCACCATATACTCCTATGTCGTTGTAGAACCCGAGGAGCGCACCAAGAAAACTTGAAAATTTCAGTGTTTTTGTTGGAAAACTTTGGATTGTCCCAAATGTGGTGCAAAATATTGGGGAAGCTCTTAGAGCAGTGATCGTGATCGGCTTTAGATCAACTAATTAAAGTTATTGTTCCTGTACCTTTACCTTACCTTAATCCTAAGACACTTGTGAAATAGCAAGACAGCATCCAACGTAGAATGGATCATATACCTCGTTTTGAAACCATATTTTCCGAATTACCTGATGGATGAATTAGCTGGATACTCGGCAATAATACATTTTAATTCCAACAGGTTTCAGTATCTTGTGTACCTTTCCAGTGTCCAACAAATCAAAGGGATGTATTTAAACATGATTTCTATTCCATCAAATTTAAGGAATATAATGTCAATTACTTCAGTAACCTTATAGTATATACGCACCAGGTAAACCGATAGGGAGACGGGACTAAATTAATTAAGCACCTAAAGTTGTTTCGCATTCATGTTTCTGGCTTCCCTTTCTTTTGCATTTTTCTACATTTTTTGATTACTGCATTCGACATGTCATGATTTGTATACAGTCTTTCATAATTTAGCTGGCCTCTGTTGAAGTGCGATTTGCGATTTCGTGTTCTTCAAAAGTAGTGCATACATGTTCAGGATTAGAACTCCAGTTCAATTGTTCAAAGGTTATTGTTGAACAGTTGATTAACAAAATGTCTTTTTATCTTTGTATCTCTCCCATTTCTGTACTCTTTTTTTTTTTGGTTGATGATTTCTCAAAAGAAAGGTCAGTCGCATTGTTTTCGTTGCTCCAAGCCAAAACGCATGTTCGTTTGGTCCTAATATTTTCAACTCAGCTTAAACTCGCCGAAAAATGAAACCTACACAGTTTTAGTCCACTTGATAAAAAACACATGCCATAGTCGTCTAGCCGTTGTGAGACCAAGAACAAAATGCATATTTTTTATGAAAATTAATTTTTCATAACTGCCTTTTAGTTCTTTCAGCTTTATACAGCTTAATGAATACTTTATAATCTTCCCCAATGAATATATATAGTCCTTCATTTGTAGTCCATCTGAAATCCTCAAATATTCTTCTTCTTTCTTCTGCAGCCTGTCATATATACACTGATGATCACCTGATTTATTTTTTTCCGGCATCTAATAGGGGTCTCTGTCGCCTTTCATTTTGGGTAGATCCGTGCTTGCGTAGATTCATAAATCCACCTGTTATTCAACTCCCAAGGTCCTCCAAAGGCACGGAAAGTGGCTCCAGCCTCCAGGTTGATTTCGAGACGTGCTATCGTGAACTTGTGGGATTGTGACTTACTTGGAGGAGTCAAGCTCCGGATTATCTGCTCCAGTTGCTTTATGGATTTTGAAATGGAGGCTGGATTCAGCCAATTCTCAAGCTCTCTTGAGTTCCTAGCTAATGGAGGATCCCCTGAAGCGGGGAATTTGGGCAGTCCAAAACTGTCATCCAAGACAGTTGAGAATGATGGATGCATCATTCGAAAAATGTAACTATGGATGCACTTCTTTTTTACTCCATACACATTCCAAATATACAAATGCTGCTCATCTACGAACCTGTTTGATTTCCTACCGTATTTCTTGACTAGTTATGCAGTCGTGAATTGCCTTTTTTTTTTGTCATTTTGCCCAAAAAGCCTCTATTATCCTAGTTAAGTTACATTCAATTCTTGACAACGAGGTGTAGCCTAATGGTAAGACGCCTCACTTTTGACCAATAGGTCACGAGATTCGAGTCGCACTGAGGGTAAGTGAGGAACCACTATTAATCGTTTTTAAAGGGGAAAAAAAAAAGTTGCATTCAATTCTCTTTTCACCTTTGTCGATTGAAAAATGTATTATTGGATGTGAAGTTTCTTTTGAAGATTACCGACGATATTATAGGTACTAGCCTTTAGTACTCTGTATTGCATAAACAAAGACACATACATCCAGTTTGTGAATAAGAACAATCACAATCACATTAATGACAAAACGGAATCTCCCGATAGGGAGTCCTGTTTCGGGTCTATATGGATAATATGAATTTCGGGAGTAACCAAAGGCATTTAGAAATTGATTATTGCGATGAGAACATTGAATGTGGTGAGATAAGTGGCAGAAAAACTAGATTGGTAGAAATAAAGAGCCATGTCAAAACTCGAATTTTTACGCTTGTAGCTTTCAGATGTGAAACGGGATGGAAGATACATGTAGGACTCTGTCAAAAAGATGGAGGCACTTTACAACAGTCACAAGGTTCATCAATAACAGAGATGGAACATTAACAAGCGTCAAATTCCGATTTTGTCGACATGATCATCGGTTTAGATATCTCAACGCTAAAGTTGACGGGGTGTTCAAGTTTTCTTTTTCCGCACAAATTTCTTATATACGCTCGCATTCGTTAATTATTCAATAATAAATATTTTTTAGCTTACTAATCAATTTTTTTATTTCTTAAATAATATTTTAAAAAATTAAACATAAATCCCTTGTTTGTAAAACTTGTTTTCTGTATCTATTATTTAAAAAACTTGAAAAATTTTAATAAAAAAATAAAAAACTTGAAAAAAAATGTGGATTAATTTGTTTTTCAATTATATTAATTGAAAAAAAAATGTGGATTACTTGAAAAAAATTTTTTAAAAAAATGTGTATCTACAAGAATATCGACAAAACCCAAAGTCCATTGTTTTGCACTATTATTTCCACAGATTTTATTCGAAGGTATTTTAATTATGTAATACATCAATTTAATTTTTTACATTTGTTTTTATACTTTATTTACATAAATTATAAATTTTTTACATTTTATAAGAAAATATAAACCATTTGTTTCTTTGAAATATACATCAGTTGGTATATCGGAATCAATAATAATAATAATAATAATAATAATAATAATAAAAGTCCAAAACAATACACTTTTCCCAAGAATCAAGTCCTAATTAAGTTAGCATTTGGTATGTTGTTTATCATCAGCTGGCAGTAAGCGTATACAAATCTGTATGTTGCTTATTTAGTGTCCTTCAAGAATAAGCCGTATACAATATGTTGATGATGAGTGACGAAGCCTTGAATTGTACCTCCCGCTTGACAGTTAAATCAATAATAATAGTAATAATAATAGTAGTAGTAGTAGTAGTAGTAATAATAATAATAATAATAATAATAATAATAATAATAATAATAATAATAATAATAATAAAAGTCCAAAACGATACATTTTTTCAAAAAAACAAGTATTAAGTTAGCATTTGGTATGTTGTTTATCATCAGCTGGCAGTAAGCCGTGTACAAATCTGTATTTTGCTTCTTTAGTGTGCTTCAAGAGTAAGCCATATACAATATGTTGATGATGAGTGACGAAGCTTACAATTGTACCACCGGCTTGACAGTGGAATTCCGACTAGGGTTTCTTGCAAAATAGGGACTGGGGGTCTCCCGATGGTAGACACTCTGATGCTTAAATCATAAATAGGGTTATGGAAAAGTGTGTGTGTGACAGTTGGAGCTAGAGATAGTGTACCCGTGTTGTGGTGTGATCAACCCTCTTTATAAGCATGGAATCACCTTGAAGGATGCCGAATCCCACTAGGTTTTATGTTCCGGAACCGCCTATGGGCCGGTCCGATAATTCTTTGCCGATATAGACTCGTCAAGTACCCCTGTCAAGTGTTAGTTGTATGAAATAAACAAGAAATTGGCACAAAATAAAACTGACCTGGATTCGGCCTAAGTGGAGTGGAAAAATTTCGACCCAAACTTTGTCAAGAAGCTCGACATAAATAATTTGCGGGTCAAGATTTGATCTAAGAAGGCGACCCGTTCCAAAATCCCCCCCAATTTATTTAACCGCGCATCGTAAGTGGGCATATTCCCAAAACGGCGGCTTTATCATCTTTATTGTCTCCTTCAAACTCGCCCAAACTGTCAAATCGTGGGCTGTAATTGCAGTACATAAAGGCTTCGAATTCCTCTAACTTCACACTTTATTTTTGCCCAGAAAAACGACTCCTTTCTCTTCCAAACACAAGAACTCCAATCAGAAAGTCCTTTATAGTGCCTCTGTCTTTGCATTGCTGGAAGTGTTCATCTCTGCCGAACCGAGAAGAGCTGTGATTGGAGAGGACTACCCCGTCCTTGCTGGCATGACAAATCAGACGATTATCAGAAGTCATCATCGCCGGAGACAACTGTGACCCTGGGAGGGTACAATTCAAGATGAGAGTGGATACCTGTTCCAACAGTAAGTTTTCATATCTAACCGTCTTAGTTTCATTTTCGGCTTTACTTTTTCCTGAGTTTTAATATAAAGGAGTAGATCTAGGTTGACTATTGCGAGTGGTGAATTATGGCTAGAAACCCAGATCTCAAAACCGTCGACAATTTTGCTTCCACCATAGATTCCGATGAGAAGGTAAATGGTGTGAAGACGAGAAATGACTTGCCCCTAGACCTAGAAGCTAGATCCCCTTTAGGAACCAAGAGAGCCAATACTCCTCCAGAAGGAAAAATCACCATTTATCACCGCTTTATGTATCTAGGGTTGAGATTCCCCCTTTTTCCTTTGTTCGAGGAGATTGTGCAATACTATAAGATTCCCTTGGCATGATTCACTCTGAATTTGATAACCTACGTTCTTGGTTTTGTGAAAATATGTCAACGGGTGAAAGTGAAACTGTGTCTGTTTCTATAGAGATATTTCTTTAAAGTATCCATGGCCTCGACATCGTTCCAAGACTGGTATATTGTAAAGAAAAACCCCAACTCGGGTGCCAAGAAGATGGTAGAGGCGTATGGCAGTTCGCCCATATGGAAACCAAACTTTCTGTATGTAAAAGTACCTGAGAAGTATGTGGTTGAATGAAATCATCGAGAAACCAATGGATTTGAGGCAATAAAGGATGAGTGGATGGTTGAAGATAAAGAAAAGATCAAGGGGTTCGCCAAGGAGTTAAAGAAATTCAAGAAGTAGCCCAAAATAGTTAAATGGGACGCTGTGCAACATTTCGTTCCTGTTGTTCTTGTTGAGGAGAAAGAAGTTAATAACACTTTTGAGACCCATGTTGAGGAGAAGAAAGGTACTAATCTCTTTCCATTACCTTTGCTGTTTTTAGGTCATGTCATCGAGCAATGGTGGTTCTCAACTTTATGGTCACGAGGACCACTTTCATGTTGTTAATTCAGATGAGGAAACATCGACCACAGTAGCTTCCGGAGCCAAGAAGAAAAAGAAGAGAATCGTGAAAGGCACCGAAAAGGAGCAAAAGGAAAAAGCAAAGACTGATATCCCTGCAATAGAGTCAGCAGTTGAAGGAGAGAAGACTGTTCCCCCGTGACCGAGAAAAACACCGTCCCACCGATGCATCCTGAGGCAAACAATAAACCTCCTACCATGGACAAAGGTAAGGGTCCTCTCGAGGAAGAGGCAATCATTCTGCCTTCCCATATATTTGAGGGAGGACCAACCGTGGCCGTTTAAACATTCGACGATCCGCCAACAATTGAGTGCCCCTTGCTGGAGAAATTTGCCGCACAGCTGACAGAGACCGACAGCGTGAGGCTGGTAAGTACCTTATGCCAATCAATGAATACTTTTGTAAATCTTTGGTTGTCAATACTTGTATTAACCAATTATGTTTGCAGATAAGTGCTGCCAGAATGGCGTACTTGATGCGTTCAAGAGAGTTGAGGCAGGAACTGGTCCATGCATGAGCTGAAAGAGACCAAGCGCTAATTGAAAAGGTTAATCTTGAGAAGAAGGCCCAACAAGTGGAGGCCATGGAGCAAGAACTAGCCTCTATGCAGACTAAGTACAATGAACTAGACGAGAAGCTCAAGGAATATGGTAATCTGCACATCTCAGAGGAGGACCTTCACAAGTTGTGTGCTGCTTTCTGGTTCAGAATGCAATCTACGGGTGGAGTGGTGACAATTATCGAGGAAATCAACATGGCTGCCGCGGAGTACAGAGGCCATGGAGTTGCCGTTGTCGGTCTCAAGAGGCTCAAAAGTGAGAAACCAATTAAGGGCAAATGGTTCAAGCAGTTCCTGAAGAAAATCCCGAAGAAAACCATGCATGAAGCACTGGTGAAGGCTCTTACTAAGCTAAGTATCGAGCAGCTGCTTCTGTGGGAGTCTCTTTGTAGGGCTCTGGCCAAGATGAGCGTTCCTGGAGATGTCGGTGGATTTCCCACCGATACCCCCACTGTCTTAGCTTGAGGGCCTGGCTAGGAATTGTCAATCCATGATATTTCTGATGAGTATATTTGCATCGAGCTCAAGGACGAGGATGATATGGCCTTAGAGGAAAAGGATACAGGCAACTCTAGTGCTAAAGACCATGAGCCTCCCGTCGAGGGAAACACTGGTGGAGCTACCGGAAGCACTCCTCATTCCCATGAAGCTGTATGACACTCTGCCTTGTAATAGTTTTTTTGTAGGAACAAGTTTAAACAATGGTCCTCTGTAAATAGTTCCTATTTTCTTTGACAATATTAGTGGACGCTCGTATGTCATCTCATAATTTGGCCTTGTACTTTTTCTTTAAAATAGGACAATTAGCCTATCCAACGAATCCACCTTATGGTTCTATCTGAAGAACAGTCGAGGGAATACCCTCTATATTCTATGATCAACAATATCATGAGAAATCGGGCAAACATTCATAGTATCGAGACAGTGATGAGCTTAGAGGTAGACCTCCTCGATGCAATGCGGGTGCACAAGGTGAAAGAAAAGCAGCATTTGATTGATGAGATCAAAGTCTTCATGAAGAGCTGCAGCGGCAAGACTACCAGAAGGATAAAGATGATAGTGATTCGTTGTCTTTCGAGACTGACATCCATGATGAATTGGTTGCTTTGCAGAAGGAAAACACCCTGTTGAGGTAGAATCAATGGATTACCGTATCACCATGGTTTCTTGAGAAGCATCACGTACTCGCCCGGGTACAGCATATGATCTAGATTAGGACTTGCCTATTCATTTCAGCAATGGATATGCTAAAAGAAAGAACTCGTGAAATCGAGCTCCTTATGGAATATATCAACGAGCTCCAGAACTTACTGCTGGATCACAATATTGGCTTTCACAGCTTTGAAGAGCCCGAGGAGGTGGTGGACCCCTGGACCAGGAGTTCTCGAGAAGAATTCCTTTTGAGGATCCATGCCCAAGACGAGGAGATTGTAGATCTTAAGGACAAACTCAACCAATGTGTAAACCTCCTCAACCAGCACGAGTTTAGAGGCATCATTCGTCCTTCTCCTGATAATCCACATGGGGAAGTTCTTATAATAGTATAGGAAAACATGTATGTTCCCTGGAACCTCGCACAGTGTGTGAAGGTAGCGAATGTGTAATTGCTTTATAAGACTCAGTTTTATTATTTATATAGCGCTTTTCGACCGGATGTAAAGTACACGGCTCTTTCAAGTGAACTGGGTACGAGTTCCTTGATTTAATACCGCGATGTACGATGGGTACGAGAGAAATTCCTCAGTTTTTGTCCGGATGTTGAATACACGGCTTTGAACGAGGATGGCCCTAAAAGGGAATCCATCTCGAGGACTAGTCACAAATATATCAACAATGTGAAAAAATAAATGCAATGACTTTTATTGAGTAATTAGCCAAGGACCTAGGTTAGCAATACATATGAAAAATTAAAAGCAACAAAGCGAATAAAGCAAATAAAGCAAGTAACCTAAACTAGCATGTAGCAAATAGAGGCTTAAACATAGAACCTGCGGAGGTTCTGAATGTTTCACCATCGAGGGAGAATGATTCCACTTTCATCTGTAATTTGCAGACTATAGCTGCCTGCTGGAGAGGCTTGAAGAACTTTGTAAGGTCCTTCCCAGTTTGTAGTGAGTTTCCCAGGAGCTTTGGCTCGACTGGCTTCATTTTTACTAAGTACAAGATCCCCCACCATAGGAGCAGGTCGAGGTTTAGCCTGATATCATCATCTTTAGTGCTCTCAACAAAGTTTTTTTTTTCGAGGACTTGCGAGGCCTATTTCGACTGGGAGAACTGCATCCATGCCATAGACCAAACTGTAAGGAGTTTCGTCTGTTGGGGAGTGGGCAGTGGTGCGGTATGACCACAAGACGTGAGAAAATTCCTCGGCCCAAGCTGCTTTAAGCGTCGTTCAACCTGGCCTTGACTCCATGTAGGATAGTTCTATTAATTGACTCTGCTTGGCCATTAGCTTGAGGGTGAGTTACACTCAAGAATAGTGCTCAATTTGCATTTCTTCGCACCACGACTTGAAGGAGTTGCTCTCAAAACGAGTTTCGTTGTCCGAGACAATGATTCTAGGAACTCCAAAACGGCAGACAATGTTTTGCCAGAAAAAATTCAAAACCTGCCTTCCTGATATTGAGGCCAACGGTTTAACTTCTACCCATTTGGTGAAGTAATCTACTGGTACGATTACCCATCTCACTCCCCCTACCCGTTTTGAATGAAAAGGGCCGATGATGCCAGTGTCGCATTGATAGAATCGCCAAGGACTTGGAATAGTAACCATCTCATTCTGTGGTTGTCAAGTAATGGAAGCAAAGCGCTGACACCTATCGCACTTTTTGTAAAAACTGGTATGCATCATTGAAGAACGCGGGCCAAAAGTATCCGGAACGTAATACTTTCTTAGCAAGTGTTCTAGCTCCCATGTCTGCTCCGCATGATCCCTCGTGCATCTCCTCGAGGACGTACGCTGCTTGTCTCAGTCCAATGCACCGCAGCATGGGTAGCAAGTACCCGTGCTTATATAATAGTCCATCTCTCGAAGTGTATTTGGCTGGTTTTTACTGAAGTGCTCGAGCATCAGATTATTACTTGGCAATGTCCCATCTGTCAGATATTGAATGAATGGGGTCATCTATGTTTCATTGTCCTCAGTAATAGCCATTACGGGAACTTTTTGGTTGCTAGGTTCGAGGAGGATTTTGACCCAAACCTTGTGACTAAGATGTGCGAAGTTCGAGGAGTCTAATTTGCTTAACGCATCCGCTCTTTTGTTTTTCAACCGTACAATATGGGAGACAGTGCATTCTTCAAACTTGTCTTTTAGCTCGAGAACTTTCTTCAAATATTGCTTGAGTTGCTCATCATTTGCCGTACACAATTTGATTTACTACTACCTGGGAGTAGCTAAAAACTTGAAGCTTTTGAACCCCAAGTTTTAGAGCCATATTCAATCCTGCTATGAACGCTTCATATTCAGCCACGTTTTTAGTAACTGGGAAGCTGAATCTCAGTGCGTAGGTGTACTCTGCATCGTATTCTTTCATGTTCTCGGTCTCAGGATCAGCCGATAGCTTTGCCAGTATAATACTGGCTCCTCCCCCCTCGTCGCAACGAGAGCCGTCAACGTATAGTGTCCAGGCTCGAGGGTTAACTTTGACGCAAGTAACGGGGTGACTCTTAGGCTCTACGACCTCCAGAATATCATTAGTGCGAGGCATCTTTACAAGGACATCTGTGAAAGCTTGACCTTTGATTGCCATTCTCGGCTTGTACTCGATATGGTGTTCCCCCGACTCGACTGCCCATGGTGTGAAGGACTTGCTGAATGGGGTGTTCTATTAATACCCTTATTGGATGTTCTTGGAAGTACGGGCGCAAGTGTCGAGCAGCCAGAACTAAACTCAAGATAAGTTTATCCATGGGCGTGTATCGTAACTCTGCCCCTTGTAACACTTTACTAACGAAGTAGACAGGGATCTCCCTGCCATCCTTGTTTTGGACTAGAATGGCTGATATGGCTTTTTCTCGAGTAGTAAGGTACACATGTAGGGTTTTCCTCAGTTCTGGTTTGGCTAATGTAGGTAGCTGTTTGAGATGCTCCTTTAGCTCTTGAAAGGCTTTTTGGTAGTGCTTGTTCTACTCAAACTTTCTGCCTTTGCGGAGCATGTGAAGAATTGGGAGGCATCCCTCTGCCACTTGAGAGAGGAACCTATTTAAAGCACCTAAGGATCCTGTGAGTTTCTGAACTTCTTTGACATTCTTCTGGGCTTCCATGGCTAAGATAGCCTAGATTTTCCCTAGGTTGACCCTGATTCCGTCCTTTGAAACATTGTATCCAATGAATTTACCCGATCCTATGCAGAAGGCGCATTTCTTTGGGTTGACCTTCATATTAATCTTGCGGAGAATTGAGAAAATCTCGTGCATATCCTTGAGAACTTGCTCATCTCTGTTACTTTTGATCACCATGTCGTCCACAAATATATCGATGTTGCGAACAATCTGGTTATGAAACGTTCAGTTGACGAGGCGCTGATAGGTTGCACCAGCATTCTTTCAGCCAAAAGGCATCTTGTTGTAGCAATATACCCCGATCTCAGTAATATAGACTGTCTTTTCAACATCTTCTTGTGCCATGAGGATTTGGTGGTACCCTTTATAAGCATCAAGGAAGCTGAGGGTTCTATACCCTGTGATACCCTCAACCATTTGATCTATGACTGGTAAGGGATAACAATCCTTGGGGCAATATTTATTAAGATCCGTGTAATCTTGACATATGCACCAAGAGTTATCAGGTTTCCACACTAAGACTTGATTACCCAACCAGGTTGGCCAAAAAACTTCTCGGAGGATGTTAGTATGGACCAGCTTTAATGTTTCTTCATTGATGACCTCGTTGCGATCTCGAGCAAATATTCTCTTCTTTTGTTGCACAAGTTTGACATTGGGATCGACATTCAGCTTGTGTTTAATAACATCTCATGGTATTCCTGTCATGTCTGTAGGTGACCAGGTGAATATATCACGGAACTCGCGTAGCAAGGCGATTACCTCGGCCAACTATGTTCCTTGAAGAGATATCCCTATCTAGATGTACCAATGTCGTGATCCTCCAACTGTGAGTGTGTTGTTGTCTATTGGATCGAGTAGCATCCTGACATGGCAGTGCTCGTGTTAGACTTCATAGTCTTCTTCCCAATCTTGACAGCTGTAAGCAAACATTCTCGAGAGCCGCGTTAGCATGCTTGCACCACCCTAACTCCGTATTCTGTTGGAAATTTCAATACTAAGTGATAAGGAGACCAAATTGCTCGAGCTTGGCACATCCATGGTCATCCTAGAACTACATTGAATGGTGAGGGTGCATCTGTTAGGGCAAAATCCATGGTTAGCGGAACTAACCTGGGATGTGAGCCTACCGTGATGGGGAGTCTTACGATTCCTGTTGGAATGATGGTATGACCTGAGAA